CAAGCTCATGGCATATGATATTTATTTTGGGTTTGATGGTTTCTTTTTTATTCTAACTTAACGTTTCAGGGAAAATCAAGGCAAGGGATGATGCTGATTCCACAAGAAGAGTGGAAGGCAAGTCGATTAATTTCTTGACAATTCAGAAAGTACTTCATCGTCCAGGCGCCTTTCTGTGCTTTACTTGTGGCAGTGGATTGAAGTTATCAGCAGTTTGATGCTTTGCACTTGTGTGGTTATGGCCTCAAATTTTGGGCAAACCATTACCAAAAAAATACCCAGAGTCCATTCGGAGTCTCCCATAAAGCCATAATGCATCTCCAGAGTCTATTTTATCATATCTTGATACATATTTTAATTAAAACATGGCCAATATAGTTTTCTTCTACCAGGTATCTTATATAGAGAAAAGATAAAAAGTTTAGAAAGAAAAAAATTATTGCTGGCTCCAGGAATTCCAGATTGCAGGTATTCTTTTGGAGCACATTTTCAGTTTCGCAACTCTGTATTGATTGGTTTGAGAATAAAGTGGAAGATAACAGAAACAACAACAATGGAGTCAAATATTTGAACTGTCACTCTCCTTCAAAATCCAAGAGCTACAATTCACCCAAACCCACTGGGATTCAGTATCACTATCTGATGTTATCCCATGACTTTGGCCCAGATAACATCATTATCTTTCAATTTTGTGTTCATTCAATTAAACATAAGCATGCATCCATGATAGAGAGAAGAGTTGCTGGTATCAATTTATTGGACCCCCCTTACATGATTTGTCTAATCTAATCTTTACGTTGCTGTTACTTTCTCTTTGATTTTTCTTTTCTTATCTCAATGGTATACATCTAATATGTTCATACAGTATGAACCGCAAATAAATTGTAATGATTTTATTTCCCTTCCTTTATTTGATTTTCTCATTTATTTAGGGTTCCATATTAGGAATTTAAGTAGTTTTCAATTATTCTTTTTTTAATGACCGGGAGTATTTGGGCCAGCTTACGCGCACTTTAACTAATCTCTCGGGACCTGAAACTATATTCTGGGTAAGTGCTCCAGTAGTTACCCCTATTAGCAATCGAGAAGAGACTTGAATTTAAGACCTCTTGAATAATACACCCAAGAGTCTCTATTGAACCACTCAGCCACCCAGAGGTAGTTATATTTTTCAAATTTTATTTGGAATTTAGTTTATTTGAGGAGGTTTTAATTTAGATAAGCTTTGTTTTCTTATTTAAGTTGTATTTGCTTTCCTTTTTCATTGGGATTACTTTAATTACCATTTGGAATGGTTTACAATAAATAGGTTTGTTATGTTACAAACAAAACAATGACTTTTCAATAAAATTTCTTGGTAGTTCCTTTGCAAATTGTTTTGTCATAGATTCAACATCTTCTCGTGGATTCGAGATTTATTATTCATGGATTCGAACGTATCAGTGTATTCGAACCGTTATGCTAGAGCGTATTTAGTGTCAATCCAAATTCGGCTGGATCAATTAGAGTCAAATTGATCCATAGTAACAACACTTGAAGTTTTAGTTGTGTCATTTCATTTTTTTGTTTTTGGAGCTTAGTTGTTGTAATGCAATTAGAAATTCAACTTATTAATGAACCTAATAATGAAACTGCTGAGACATCAACTCCAACTCTCTAGTAATTTCATTATGAAAATCAAGATTTTTAGTCTCTTACAAATCTTTCTGCACTAATTTTAACTAACATTAGTATGTAGCTCTCTCATTAGTGAATATCGTATTATTTATAGTTGGTAGATGTAATTAAGTCAAACCCCTTATGTTTATTGAAATAGCAATAACTACCCACTAGTATGGGAAATTAGACTATAACCCCATTTTGTTGGAATATATATTAAAAATAGAAATGACATTTTTAACCTTTCAATATAAGTTAGAAACTCAAATATTAGCCAAAACATCCCACCCTAGAAGGCTCCGTCACGGTGGAGACTCGAACTTGAGAAATTGGAATAAACTCCCTTTCACTAGACCAAACCTTTGGAGGTATTCATATTATTTTCCTTGAAACAGATTTTATTAATTGGTGTCGAATAATGTTTATTTTAACAATAATAGGTGTTAATAAACAATAACTAGCCTTAGAATTTTCTAGTTAAGAGTAAAAATGTTGGTATCCTAATTCTCAACAACCATCTTAAAAGAATTGTGTTATATTGACCTCAAAATCAATTTCATGGGATATGTCGTTTACTACATATCCCATGAAATTTGAAGTCGTCCAAATAATATGACGGACCCATGCTGAAGAAAAATAATACAGTTATCAAAGGATGTGCATCGAATTCGTGTACCGAATGATGTGGCGCAATCCTGACCATCGATTAATATTAATTCAAATATTAATCGACGGTCAAGATTTCGTCACGTCATTCGGTGCGCATCCTTCGGTGATTGTAGCATTACTCCATACTGAATTGCTTCTTTCCATGGTTGTTCAAAAAGTCAAGGTCATGGTCCCCAATGTTGAAGAACAATTGATGATAAGCATATGAGATGTGTTTTGGGTTTGATTGTTTTTGTTTGATTCCAACTTAACACTTTGTAAATGAATGTTTTCAGAGAAAATTAAGGTTATCTCGTGTCAAACATTAGAAACCAAATGCTACCAACATTGCTCTTTCCTTCTCCATTTCGTTGCTTTTCTTTTAACAATTATTTTGTTGGGAATTATGTGTATGTGTATGCTTTTAAGCCACAAGTCAAATAACAACCTTTTCTTAATGATAATAACATAAAGCATTGAATTTATATAGTTACTCCTCTTACTTGATTTTACTTCAATTTATTGATCTCATCTTTTACGAGTAAACGGCATATTTCCACCCTAGGTTTGGCGAAATCTAAAGTTAATATATCTGGTTGTATTTATTTCAGATTTTCACCTCTTAAACTAACATTGTTAGTGACTGTTAGAGATGGTTTGGAAACAGTAAGTGAGATCGGCAAGTGAAGGTATGAGTTTTGTAGAGCAAGTTGTGGGAAGTCTAACGGTGGTCTCAGAAGTGATTTTAGACTTCGTAATCCACTAGAAAAAGCCAAAAACTGTCGACTTAGATGTTGCTAACATCAGCCATTTTTTGCTAACATGAAAGAAAATGTTAATGCACTTTAACGTGCTAACTTGCGCACATTACAGTAAAAAGTTGAAAATATATTAAAATAAAGGAAACGCACATTACAGTAAAAAGTTGAAAATATATTAAAATAAAGGAAACGAATATTACTTTAAAGATGAGAATCTATAATAAATGCAACTAAGAGTATCAATATAGGATTTTGTTAAACCTTGGGTGAAGATATGACCTTTGCTCCATCTCTAATATGGCATTACTTGTTTAGGCCGCATCTTGGATTGAAATTGTAAAAATATGTGCAGGCCGAAACTCAATTGAATGAAATTGATGTCATGGATAAGACCCAAGCCCAACCATGGTAAGGTCCATCAAATCAAACGAAGTAATGCCTATTTCAGATAAAGCAATTATGTTCTATTATTTACTAAATTTTAATACCAATTAATCCATCTTAATCCAGCCATTCAAAGTTTTGTATCAAAATCTTAAACTACTCTCATGTTAATTTTTAATATTAATAAGTCAAAAACTGTACATGAAGGATTTATATAGTGAGTTAAAAAGTGAGGAGCAAATTGAGGAATTTGGTGAAGTTGAAGATGGTGTCACCACCACCGATCACTATCCCGAAAGATGGTAGTAGTTGTGGTGACGGGGTTTCTGCTCAAGTTGATGTTCAAGTTTTTGTCACTCTCAAACCAAACAAAATGGAAGCAGACAATGGAGTCCCCATGAATTAAATTTGTTGCCTTTGTTTCGCTTATTTAGATTGGCCTCCCAACATTCCCACTCACATGCAGAGGATAAGCCTTATTCAGAAACTCCTTTGTGCCTATCTATACACATTGGCCGTTGCCAACCTTTTTCTTAACTCTCATTAACTCTTTGTTTGCTGCCCACCGTCCACGGTTGCCAGCCATTATCAACACAACCAAGTCTTTACTTTTTTGCTTCTTTTTCTTTCTCAATTCCCATAGATTTTTCAGTCACAAAAGTACCATATCTACAAAGCAATAAACAAATCCCTCACTGCTCAATTACCAACTACAATCAACAGAAATCATAAGAAACACTTATGGGTCCCTAAAGAAATGGATCTGCCTTCATCATAACAACATAGAAGAGGATGCCCAGTTGCCCAAACCCAAGTGCCTCTCTCAAAATCTACATTACCCACTTTAATTTGAAACCAAATGTCTCCTTCAAAGAAAGGTACCCTAAAGCTAAGTATATCTCCTTCAAAGAAAGGTACCCTAAAGCTAAGTATACTTCTTCTGGTCTTTGTTCTTCATTAGGGTAACGTACCTTCATTTCTACGCATAAGATCCAACTTAAGTATCCTAGATGTCAGAAACATAGGGCACCTAACTGGTCTTGAAAAAAGATTAAATTACAGAGAAAAGAAAATTATTACTCGAAAGAGGGTTCCAGCCAAAAAGAATCATAGAAAATCGCATCCATTGACATTCATGAAAATAGAAGAGAATAGAATAAAGCAAATTTAAAGTTCATAATAGTAAAGCATATAATACCTATAATTTAATCTTTTCCCACTTACTATCAAAACTCAACATTCCATTGGCCCACTTCACCTAATCACATACTTAAATTCTAAGCAAAAATTAATCACCCAGAAAGTTAATAGTTATTCATGAACATATTTTTCCTGAAGTGACTTCTTGCCGGCAACTACATACACAATCTAGCCAAATTAAGAAACAAACATAAGAGTAAAAGAAAAGGGAACGTTTCATTCAATATAGAGGGACCAAACTTACCATATTCCAGTACTGAATTTAATACTATATCGGCATCACAAAAATAGAACAAATTTGTTTTTTCCCTCTAAATTTTTTTTTTTTTTTTTTTTTTGTGGGGGAGGGGGGGAGGGGCTCTTGGCTCGGAAATTAAAAAAACAAAGAAAGAGAAAAAGAAAGTGATTGAAAAATAAAAAATTCATATTTATTGACCTAAGCATTCGGACTCCAAAGGGACCACAAACGAGAATTGAATAACCCTAACACGTCCGGCAGCACTTTTCTAGCCAAACCCTTGTGGTTGCAGCTACCTCCCGCCGCCGTTGTCTGCATGACCTCTGTCGTCGTCTCGTCCTCCGCTGGCTTAGATTCACCGGAAAACTCCATCACCTCATTCTCCTCAAACTCTTTTGTAGGCGAATTCACGGGTGCCACGTCGTCTTCCAAAAAAGCCTCGTCGGGAACAACAACGTTAATGGTGGGTTGTTTGGAGTCTTCAACTTGTTTTTCCGGAACAGAACTTTCGGGTTGACCCAGGAGGAGGACATTGAGAACTTGGTTATTGTTATTATCGGCACCAAAACGGCGCGCTGTTTTGTCTCTTCTCTTGGCTTTCCCATTTTTCTTCGATTTTTGAGCTTCACCGTTGGTCAAGTGGTCTTCAAAGGCTTCAATGGCTTGGTGAATGAGCTCCCGGTTCGGAGAAGAATCCCATCTGAACCAGTAACTGGTATAACAGTCAAAACAATCGCAATCAAACACAGGAGGCTTATGAGTAACAGTGCTGCCGTTGCCGTTGTTGTTGCTACCATTTGCAGCAGTCTTCTTTGAAGACTTCCTCTGGATGATTGATGAAGACGACGTTGTAGCTGTTGTTTTGATCGACCTGGTGATAAGATAAGCCAAAACCTCACGGTCCTCAAGAGGGAGGACGGTTGCAAGAGCAATAATGGCAGCAGGGAGAAGCTTCAACCCAGAAAGATAGTCTCCGTTTGCAGAAGAAGAAGAAGAAGAAGAAGAAGAAGACGGAGAGGGAGATGGGTATACTTTACCTTTGTTCTTTATCTTCATGTTTGCTGTTGCTGTTTCTTTTCTTCAAAGATGAAATGGAGTTTTTGTACTTTGCTTGGTTTATCTTTATCTTTTCTATGTAGTACTGAGGTTTTTTTTTTTTCTTTTTTATTCAAAATGAATTATTTGGTGCGGTGAGAGTGAGAGAGATGAAACAGTGGGTAGGGTTTTGTTTATTTAATAGGTTAATGTTTTTAATTTACTTAATGAACAAGGCAGGCAGGAGGGAGGAGGAAGAGAAAGAGAAGGTACGTCGGGCAGAGGGAGAGGTCACCGTTCCTTGTTTTTGAGGTTTACGTGTCACTGTGGGCGCGTGTGGGAGACGGTCATTGTGTGTTACATGTTTTTAGTACCATGCTTAATCAAGAAAACTGTACGACATCGCAGCTAAGTATAGAATTAGAATATGTTCCTTTCTCCATCTTTTTCACCTCCTCCACTTTCAATGGCGAATAAAATTGTAGTCAAATTCAATACTTCTCTCAGTAAGAATTTATTTTCTAATTTTAATTAATTTAGAAAATTCCATTATATTTGTATATTTTTTCTTGTTTTCTTAATTGTTTTTAATCATTCCATTAGTATAGAGTTCTTATTGTGCAGTAAATTCGAATAAAGAAATTCTTTGTCAAGAAATAATAATTTCACTTTAGCAAAATGATATAATGCGATACGGGCAGTAAAATTAAAGTTCAGATATCCATTTGTTTTCTTGTTTAGAAGATTCAGTGTTTATTTTCAATTCAAACTTGTAATGGGTTCTATATAAAATTACTTATTTTTGCATTATAAGCAACTGAACCATTTTAAAGACTTATTTTTGTCCATTGTGTTTTACGTTTAATAACTGTTTATATCAAATCACTTTGTCTCATCGTTGATCTATCAGGATTATGTAAGCTTCTGACGTGGTTCTAACACTGTCAATTATGTATTTTTTGTTATTGTGATTTCTTGCATTAACTTATTATGTTACAAACTAATTTTCAATTGGGTATTTCATTGTGAAACTCAAATCATCCTGGTTTAGGTCCAAGAAACTTCTTATGAATTTAATATTTTTTTTGCTTTGGGCATGAGTTTCATATTCCTCAAAATGTAGAGGTACAACTTCATCCAATAATTGACCCTTAATTAAGTTAAGTAATTAAAATAATTAAAATTCTTCAATAATTAACCTGGAATTGGTTAATTTACAGCCCAGCGAATCCTGAACCAAGGCGAGACCAGGCCCCCACACACACACACACACACACACACTTGCGAAGATCCAATGAATTTGGCGCGTGGAGATTCGCTGCCGAGGGACGGAAGTGGCGTAAGACTCTGCGCCACGCACAGGTACAGGTACAGCTAGTATTTGACCTTTTTAGCATCAAATAAGCACAGACACTTTCAACATCAATTTAATAATAAACATTCAAATTTGAGGGGTAAATTAGTGATGAGTAAGCAAATATGGATAAAGACAACCGACCAAAAAGTAGTGAGGATAGAAGGGTGTGAAAATTTTATAAGGTGGAAGAGAGAGGTTGAGAGCTCGAGGAGATGTAAGAATTTGATTGGTCAAACTGCAAAAATGTGTTTACTTTTTTATAAAGAGTCTTATTGTTTTATCACTTTGATTCGTTTTTTGCGTTTTACACGAGGTTTGTGGGTTGTTTTTTACTAGACTTCTCCTTGTCCCAGCCAAACCCATTTTTGTAAATACAACTTCAAAAAATATTTTTTTTATTATGACAGTAGAGGGTTGGATCAGTTTGCATGTACTTCGATTATTCTTCTGGATATTGGAACCATTGACCAGTTTGCACGATCACATTTATTAGTAATCGTACAAACTCGAACTCAAAAAATCATGTAAACTTAGATTATTCTTTGCTCTTTTACCATCAGGTCACCTAATAATGGTTTCCAATTTCAAAATATATATTTTTTTTATGACTGAGATATCTAGGCTAGTTTATACACACTTCAATTATTCTCCTAAACTTTGAAACTATTGATCAGATACGAGTTATAGTGGTCACCCTTACTAGCAATTGTAAAGATTCAAACTTAAAAAACCATATAAATTTAGATCATTATTTTCGCTTTTACCATTAAGTCATTCAATAATGGTTTTCAACTTCAAAGTATGCCTATCAAGGTTCATAACATTGAAGGTTCATAACATTGAAAATAAGAAGCACTTTTGAGTTTCCCGTAAAACAGGTAAAAATTATTTAATTTGATATTTTTTTTGGTGTTAGCAAAAAGTTCGTTTACACCAACCATATACTTTTAGATTATATCCAACAGTCCAATGTTTGTTTCCCACTATAAAGAAAACAAAAATCATACTATAAAATAAAACTATTTGGTCACGCAAAAGTTTTTTATTACCCCACTTTGGCAATATTATTTTGGAGTTAAATGCAAAGCTTACAGTTAATTTATTAAATTAAATATTGAACTAGTGCCGCCAGAGTGAAATGAAAAAGGAAAACATGATGCGACATTCAGGAGGATTTTTCTTCCTTGGAATTTTACTTTCCTGGAAGGTTCAAAATGGCTATCACATAGGTTTTGATATCGTTTTTAGTAGCATTAATTAATTAATTAATTAGACGCAAACCGCATTTAGCCCAGCATCTCTCGTCAATTATTCAAAGGCTGAAGCAATGATCAAACATACTTTCATTATATCTAATCCAATCTCCTATTTGCTTAGCCTTTTTTGTCTGCCGACCACTGGATTTACAAATATGTTTTAAATGACACCCACATTGCTCTGGACCATAAAAATATTCCAGAGTTCTGTAAATGTTCTTCACTCTGAGCAATTAGAAAAAAGTGAAGAATATATGTTCACAAAAAGGTGGGATGTAGGGGTGTTTAAAACCGGTTAATCGAAATGGTTTTCAGTTCAGGAATTTTCCTAAACCAAAACAGGTTAAAGAAAAACTGATTTTTCAGTTAACTAAAAAACTGGTTAACCAGTTTTGAACCGATTTTAATATTTAATATTTTGTATATTTTTTAATAAACCGTATTTTTTTATTTTATATTTTTATAATAAACCTGTTAGTAAAATCAGTTTCAGTTAACTGGTTTTTATATTCTCCTAAACTGGTAACTAAACAAAAAATTTGGTTTTTCATTTTCTTTGGGCTGAAACCGAACCAGTTTTTCGGATAATCGAAAATTTAGTTTGGTTACTGATTCGGTTTGATCTTTTTTTTTTTTTTTTTTTTTAACACCCTTAGTGGGATGTACACATTGTAGTTGGCCAACCCAGAAAATGCATAATCAAACAGGATTCTAATCAAAGGGATATGCCATTGACATTTTGCTTTGGTTTTCACCAAATCCTGCAGCATATTTTGTGGGATCTGTTGTTTTGAATGATCAAACAGAGTGTAATATTGATGGTGGTAATTAATTGATGAAAGCATTAAAACAATAATGGACTTTGGTAATTGGCTTTTCCTTTACATCATCTTTCATAATTAGTGGCAAAGTGAACTTTTATGATTAATGGAATTTTAGAAATGACAGGGAAAATCCACTGCTTTTTACATTGCAAAGCAAACCAAAATGTTTGCCTAAAACAAGGATTTTATAAGCAGCAAATGAAATCGCCATAAAACGAAACAGAATCAGTCAGTTTTTTCATCTGTTGGTTTGGATTTGTTTGCAGCAGTAGAACGTTTATCCTCTGCATGCTTTCCCTGAATCTCATCTCTCTCCCTAAAGTACTTCTCAAAAGCCCGAGGAAGGAATTGTGGAATCAGGACGCAAAAGAGATTAGTTGAGAAATACACCAGATTGGCAACAGCAAGAATCCTCCCAAACCAAAACCACACCATGTCCTGAACCACAACAAATTTTTTATATTATATCAAAAGCACATTTAAAGAACAAAAAGTTTGATTGAGAAATTTCACCTTAACTTCTACAGTGGCAGGCAGAGTTTTGCTAAACCAAACATCAGATATCCAATCAATGATAAGAAAGAGCCTCCTGACAGTGTAAAGCAATGGAACTAGTGCCCTTACTGGTGCTGAAAATAATGATAATCCACTTATGATATTCTCAGTTAGTATTTGAAATGAGAGCAAGAACAAGTTAGGTGTGCCTGAGCGAACTGCTTCCTCATCGCCTCTCGCGAACCCACCCAACACATATGCCAGTGGCAAGAACAACCCAACTGTGGTTCCTACAATCACATAAAACCTGAAAAATTTGCTACCTTGGAAGATCTCCTGCGTGCTCGAGGAACCGTTGCCATGTGCGGGGAAAACCAAACGTGAGAGGGCTAGTAGATAAGCCGATGTAAAGGCGGGGAACACTAAATCTAGGAGTGGGACGAGTCCACTGGCTGAGAAAACCATAATGAAGGCAACTAGTTGGAGTTCGATTACGCGCAATGATCCCATGACACTGCCCACAGTTGTTGACTGCTCCTGCCGCTGATTTTTCAGGGGCTTTTGGGCTGTGCTTGTGGTTTTGTCAACCTCCTCATTAGGTGCTACAGCAAGAGATACCCCGGACATTTTTGTTTCCAGTGAAAAATTTCTGCTATAATTGATGTGGTTAAACCTTCTGCAGGGTGCAAACTGAAACGATTTTAGAATTTCGCGGCTGTTGTCAAACCCTGAAGAGTAAAAACAGAAGAAATTAAAGAAAAGAACCCTCAACACCAGCGTGGAACAAAAGTAATGAAAAGTTGCAAACTAGTGAAAATCGAATCCATTACAAAAAACAAGTTTACTTTGTAATTTCATACCCCCAAGAACGCGAAGAAAAAAGCATTGATCTTAGCAGGAAATTAATAATACTCATTAAACTAAAGAGAGAATGAAAGAGAAAAAAGAAGAGATCTTACTGATGACAATTTGAGGGATTCAAAACCAGTATCCGAATAGAGAGAATCAGGGGAGAAGATTTGAGTTTTAAAAATAGGAATAAGCGGGTGGACATGCAACAAAAACAATGTTGAACAACGTGTAACAAGTAATGTTTGACACATGGTTGCAACTCAACGTGGCGAAGGTCTCTGTCTCACATGTGGCATATGCGTCTATTTTCACGTGCCCTTTTGAGGTTATCGGTTGCCTCGTCAATGTTTACATTTAAAAGAGTATTTTCTCTGGATATACACGAACTTGGACACTAATTCTCTGCATATCATATCATATCATATCAAGTTTACGGTCCATATTATTATACTATATAAGACTTGTACATGGCAAAACTTGTAACACTAGAATGTGAATTTAGTAAAATGTGAGCTATATATTCTTTCCAACGTAATTATCGTTACTCCAAGTCATAGCAAAATATGAAATGATGAAAATATTTATGAGAAGGGCAACCAAAATTATAATAGTGATGATATTATAAAAATAGCAAAACGAGGCCTACATATCCAGAATCAAAGCCCAGGCCAAAAAATATCCAAAATGAAAGCCTATTTTGGGAAAATTAAACGGGCCAAAAGGCCCAAAAAAATATAATTCCGTTGCCGGGAATCGAACCCGGGTCTTTCGGGTGAGAGCCGAATATCCTAACCAACTAGACTACAACGGACTTTGATGTCCTTGTAAACCAATTGAAAATTTGGATGGTTTTTGCTTTAGGATATAAATGCCGATTGCTTCCTTAATTGGTTGACGCCATATCTTGGGTTTTATTTATTATCACTCCAATATTGCAATGAGAATCAACATTGGTAGATAATCTATATGTTTGGAAAAACTGTAAACCCACTCCTTATATAAGCAACAAATTCATTTTGAATTAACGTATTTCTGATCTTATGTTTCAATAATAATACTCAATTATATATAACCCATTTTTGGCAATTGTTATTAGTATTTATTGTCCAACTCCCAGCTACTGTTACAACCCATGAAATCCTCTTGAATTTTAAGAAAGAAAAAGGTTAACCTCTAATTCTACTACAGTACTACATATGTTTTCACTGATGTTTATCTACAAATTCGATATTTTCATAGTCCTTTTACCAATTTATGATTTTATCTCAGGAAAAATTATCGAAAACGGACCAAAATGTCACAATATCAAGGTGATGAAGATCACAAGACTAAAGCAAAACCGGAGGAAAGTAAAGAAGGAATCGTTTTGAAAGTTTATATGCATTGTAAAGGATGTGAGAATACGGTTCTGCGTTGCCTTCAAGGTTTCAATGGTAATAGATATATAGTTTTTCTATTGGTGTCTTGTGATAAATGTATGTTCAATATATTATATGTATTTGGCATTTTTTTAGTAATATCCATTCAATATTTTATGTTTATCCACGTGGGACTTGTGCAATATTTTGTTCTTATCAATTAACCCTTTAGGTGTGGAAGAAATCATGATCGATAGAGCAAACAATAAGGTGATTGTGAGAGGAAAGAATGCTGACCCAGAAAAGATTTTTCGGAGAATTCGAAAGAAGTACAGTACAAATATTGAACTTCTTTCTCCAAAACGCAAACCTGTTGAAGTCTTCCAACATAAAAAAGAACCAGAAAAAAAAGAGGTCAATCTCAAGTTTTGTTATCTAGTAAGCCATACTACAGTAATTTGGTTATTACTTACTTATGTTGATGATCTGTATTTTATTTATGTAGCCTCAACCTCAAGTGAAGGTGGTGATATTCAAAATGTACATGCATTGTGAAGGTTGTGTCCATGATATTAAGAGAAATATAGTAAGAATGGAAGGAGTTTTAAGTGTTGAAGCAGATATGGGTAAGTCTGAAGTGAAAGTAAAGGGGGTATTTGATCCACCAAAGCTTGGTGAAAAGATTACCAGAAGACTTGGAAAGTACGTGGAGATCGTGAAACAAGAAGAAGAAGCAAAGAAGGAGAATAGCTATAACAATAAAGAAGACAAGGAAGAGAATATGATCTATTATCCTCCTCAGTGTCCCTGGAACTGGAATAATAATAATAATGTTTATAGTTGTCAAATCTTTAATGATGAAAATGTTCATTCATGTTTGATAATGTAGAACCATTTAAGGGTATCAAATAAAGTCTTGGATTCTCTTATATGTAATTATATTCAATATAAAGAATGGGGTAATTAATTATATGATTTTCATATTGTAAATGTGTGTTTTTTAATCATGAAATATAATTAATCCGAGGGTAATCTTAAATTGTATCCCAATCATTAAAAAATTATTATATTGATACACTTTTATTTAGAAGAAAAATAAAAATAAAAGGAATAAATTAACAATAGAATTGTTATTATCAAAATTTGGTATTTTAATGATCTTAGTTTTTTTTTTTTTTTTTTTTTTTTTTTNCAACAAGGCCAAAATTTTGTATGATTTTTGTTAATCTGTCTCATTACTGTCCCCTTTTGGATCACTTAGATAGTGGTAATAATATTGCCAGCTTTATTTTCTTATCAACTCTCCAGATACTGACTGGAATTTCCTCACATACAGGTTGGTGTGGTGCTGGAGCTGATCATTATGAGCCATTAATCGCCCATCCATGTGCACTTGTCTCCAATGAGAAGGTTGCTCTGGTACTTTGAGGACATTAGTCTGCAGTTTTGTGGCGTAGAGTTTGAGTAGAAGTAGTTATATTCTTTTTTCTCCTCTCGTTGTCATGCAGTTTAGTTCTCGTGATTCTTTTCTGGGTCACAAGGAGAATATTGCATAGAAATCATTTTTTTGTTAACATTTTTTTTAGAGTTGGTCATCTTTGACTCTTAACTAGCAGGTTTCGTGCCTGCAATTGAGCAAACCCTGTAATGTTTTGTAGTGTTTTTTGCCGGCTTCTCTTGTTATTCTTGAGTTCCTTCTGGGGTTGCTTGTATTGGTCTCTGGTGCTATTTCTTCCAAGCCAGAATAGTGCCATTCTGTTGTATTTTATTATGTTCTTCATTGAGTCGATGAAAGAAGAGACTATTTAGCCAACTTCACTACTGACTGAATTGAAATCCAAATTGCCCATGATCTGTGTGGAACTATAACTTCTCTCAAGGCCAGTTTCCTATTGACATGATAAACATAAAAATAAGGAGCAATGGAGAAATGAAGTCCTCCAAATCCTGAAAGGTCTCTCTTTTTCTACCTTTCTATTTATTTGAGGTTTAAGATTATTAAATAAAGAGAGGCATGGTTGACTATTCTTTGTTGTTTCAAAATGCACTGCCCTGCTAATTTTCAAGTACTTTACCTTATTGTAAATTATTGGACCTTCATTGTTCTGCTAATGGTGTTTTAATTTGTTTCTTGTCTTGTGGTTTTAGCTTGTCAGCAACTATTTCAAGATCTTCTATACCATATCGCATCATGGTCAATCTTCGGCAGGTCATAGAAAAAGGGAAAAATACTGGTGTCTTAATCTAAAGGGTAATACTACGTTCACAATTCAATCACACAATCTTCTTTTACAACTTTAATGTGATAATTGAGTTCACACAATCTTCTTTTACAACTCCAACGTGATAGTTCAACTGACAATTGTCACCTCAGTTTATTTTTTTTATTTTTTTTATTTTTTATAAGGTAAGAATTAAATATATGGGATAAAGTTAATATAAAAAGATATGAGAGGTATACTCTAAGCTAAGACAAAAAGTCTCAAGGGAAACATCCACAAACAACACAAAAAGAGCACACAAGCTCTTCACAAAAAATTCGTCAGGCAAGTGCCATATCGAACGAAGATGGGCCGAGATCTCATACTTGGGTGCCAAACCTAAAACCTTGGCCTGAACTAAATCACATATAATCGACACAATATCTTTGCAAGAGCTGCAATGCTGATGGAACACATGATTATTTCGTTCATACCACAAAAAATAAATTATAGCAAAAATGACTAACCACGAAAGAAGGTATTCGAAGTCCCCTTTGCACTTGAGATGCAAACTAGCCCACTGGAGTAAAGAGAACCAAGAGAAACATGGCCAAACAACAAGCGACAACGAGCGTCTTGGTAGTAACCTATCGCTGAATATAAGAAGAGAAGACACAACTAAAAATCAGATGCTTATGATTCTCTACATAGATCTGCACAAAAGGCACACAGAAGATGAAATGACATCATGAGAGCTAAGACGATCCATGGTGTGAAGCCGACCAAGAGAAGCGAGCCATAAAATAAAGGAGTGGCGTGGAACATACCTTAAAAACCACAAGAGATGATGAATTGAGTTCACATCTCATCTATCCCATAACACATTCCAAGCTGAGTCAATGGAAAATCTGCCAGAAGAGTGACCCTTCCAGACAAAATGGTCAGAAATGCCCATTGAAGGTTGCACAGTAACAGAGTCCCAGATATGTTGAATATCTGCACTACCCGAAGGAAAAACCCATGAGTCATTTCGAATGATATCTGAAACCCGAGCATCCCAAGGCAAACCAGTAGAAGTCAGAGTCCTAAAAGGAAACAAATCGCATAGACGCCCCTCTGGTAGCCAATAATACTGCCTTAAAGAGGAATCTCTGTTATCACCTTTACAAGTCACAATGAGACCACAACACCAATCTCTGCTAAGAGGATCTTCCTCCAAGACTATGTAGCCCCAGAGGTAACCCGAACTTGCTAGAATGACCGACTACGAAGGAGAACCAAACAAACCCAAGAAGACCAAATCGAGGAACAGTCACTAAGAAGTTTCTAGACATGCTTAAGAATAATTACCTTATTAATCTCGTCAGCTCTCACTACACCTAAGACACGAAATAACTTTGATTAAACACAAATGGTCGTCTTCTAGGGACGAACCGCCGTTCCTTGATAAGGAATGAATGTTCCTTACGAAGGAATAGCCGTTCATTTATAAGGAACGATTGTTTTTTTATAAGGAACAATTGTTCCTTATGAATGAACAATCATTCCTTTGAATGAATGGTCGTTCGTCACTAAGGAGCGACTGTTTGTCTATAAGAAACATTCGTTCATATTTAGTCAAAGTCGTCAGTTGAAATGATAGTGCGAATTCTGTTGCCACATTATGGTTGTAAGAGAAGGTTGTGGGATTGGATTGTATACGTAGTATTTTTGTAATCTAAATATATACATAAATGAGCAATTGCATTAAGCCATAATAACAATTTATAAAGTTTTTAGATTAATATTTCTAGATTGATCTTAATTCAATTCAATATTGTATAATAATATACCTTGAAAGTGACATAAATTAGATTGAATCTTAACAGATTTATCAAGGCATATAAAATTGAAAATTTTCACGCCAAACAGTTTAAATATCTAGTATAGAATTGCATGTAATCTTTGTTCAATAAACAATATTACCCTACAATTATCGGGATCTAATTATCTATCTTTGCTGCCTATTACTTTTTAACTACCCACATTTGGCGTAGCTGGATGCTATTAATTGACGAAAGCATAACTCTTTTTTTCCCTTCTTCTATGAAAGCTTCAAACACGTCTTTCCTTTCTCTCTTACATTAAGTAAAGGATCTTTTTAAAGAGAATCTGATAGTTCCCCATTTCCCAAAAGCAATATACCAATTCGTTGAACTTGAACCTCTTTTTTTTTTTTTTTTTTTCCAGCAAATTACATAAGCAAGGGCAGGCTGTAACTGGAACTAGAGTGAACCCAGAAAAAACTTTTCATCTCACTTACCTTTTTTAACTTAATAATTAAACCATTTGATAATGACTCTAGTTTCATGTTTCTTGAACTTTGTATCTCTTTTCACAAACCAACTTTTTTTCCTTTCAACAAACGTGCTACCTAATGCTTTCAGCTTTCAATTATGGAAGAAAAAGCAGAGCAATTTGATACAAAAGCATGGCAGCTTGACAATGACAATATTCAATTTTTTACTAAGATTTTCTAGTCTATTCAGTGACCACCCATTAAAGGCAAACAACAAAGTATGGCAGTTTATAGTATTACTCATCTGCTTTTTAATATATAAAAAACAAATTAACAGTGAAGTTACACAGGAGAATGAATTATGCACTAAATATCTTCTCCACTTTTCTTTTTGATTAACTTTCTGTAAGTTGTGACATCAGGGCTGAAATCATTGTACTTGTAATCTGGAAACAGTGTTTATGCATGTGAATCATCAGTCTATTTAGAGGGCAATTTTATTGTAATCACATATTATCTCCTGTTTATTTTATTTATATAATAAGATGTAAAAAGCTTTTGAATTCACAGTACTCGTATCAAAACTAACCATGTACTTTATACTGTTTAAGTTAATCAAATGTAAATATAGACTGATATTCGATGCATATTATACATACATTTGGTTCTACATTTTAATTAACAAACGTAAATCTTTCAAAAAGTTATTCAATGATGTATATTAAGAAAGTTTTATGTGGGAAATATTCTGAAATACTGGAAAAATCAAAACCATCAACACCAGAAAAGCTAAAATGGCAGGCGGAGGCTAAACCAAAAGCCTCGAAAATTATAATACTCAACCTGCCATGTCTTTTCATAAAGTAACTCTCCCATACATTAAAAGAACAATTAAAAGTAGCAACTCTGAATCCAACCAACATATCCTCCTTGCTTTTTCCCTACTATATAAACCATTCTTTGGTTCCACTTCTATGTTCAGTCATATGTCAATCCTTCTCACTTAGCTTTTCTACCCAAATCCTCTCAAATTTAATCCTATATTTTCTGTATTTTATTTCTTCGCTGGCAATGGATTTAGTGAAGAGAGTGATGAAGGTTCAAGCCGATAAGAATTACAAGAAGGGTTGGTTTTTTGTTTGTAATTTGATATTTGTTTATGCTCTTACTGGGTCGGCTTATAGTTTGTTTTCCTCTTATCCCTTTTGGTTTTCTTCTCTAAGCTGTTGCGTGAAGGAGTTTCTGTTTATCCATCTCCCGTATATTTGGTCTTCCTTTTCTAAACCTAAGTGGTTGTTCGTAGTAGCTAACGTTATTATCGTCGTCCTCGTTGGAGAATCAAATTTTGTGGGTTCAAACTCATCATCTTCAGCTTGTGATCAGTATTACGATGAGTATGTTGGGAGGAGCAAAAGGCTTAGAGGTCATGCCTCGAGTTATAATAGTCTTCAAGAGAAGAAGGAGGAGGTGAATTTGACTAAGGAGAGTGAGGATCAAGTTGATGAAGCAGTGAAAGAAGAGGTCATCAAAGAACAAGAGAAAGAAGTTGAAATAGAAAAAGATGATCATAAAGAAGAAGAGGAGGAGGAGGAGGAGGAGGAGGTTGGATTGCCTGCTCAGGAACTGACCAAGAGAGTTGAAGATTTCATTGCTAGGGTTAACAAGCAAAGATGGCTTGAAGCCAAATCATTAGTCTGTTGCCGGGCATGAAAATTAAAGATTGCTTGATGATGACTACATAAATTTGTGGAAGAATTAAGTGGTAAAAATATTGTAGATTANAATAACTTTAGTGAGTCTTACAATAGCTGGTTGGTGATCAGAGAGGCAAGCCAATCTTATCTTTACTGGATTACATTGGAAGAAAGCTTATAAAGTCCATGGTTAAAAGAAGAACGAAGGGTAGAGAAGTGGATTGGGGATATTCCTCCAAAAGTGAGTATAGTCAACAAAATTCAATTGAATGCGAAGAGATTAAGTGTTACACAAATTGGTGAGTACACATATGAGGTGAAAGATAAGGGTATAGGCTTTGTTGTGAGGACTTTGACTTTTGCTAGTTTATCATGGGATGCTC